ATCATCGACTTCACATCGAATAATCTAGTAAAAAAATTATTGGAACTTTTTGATAGATTAGCGACATCTATAAGCTGCACCAAATCACAAATATTCTTACTAAAGACACAATTAAATAGTTTCTGTTCACATTTATTTTCTTTTCCCCATCCCACGTACATAATACCCTCTCTCTCTCTCTCCTTTAAAACCAAGAAAGCCATTAACTTCTCCCATTAGACAAAGAACAAAAGAATCGTAAATATGTCAAACCCATCTCTTTCATCCATATATTTTCTACTTCTCCACCACATCAAACCAAAATCTTGAATACATACAGATCAAAGAAAAGGAAAGATCAAAGAGAAAATCATATACTACTATATCATCCGATCTTTCATCTATGGGGGCGGCTTCATCGAGCATCGCTGGATCAGAACCTTTTGCGGGAAAGTTATGCGGTCTCGAAGATGTGCCTGAGAACTGTATAACGGCAATGTTCATGTACATGGAGCCACCGGAGATCTGCCTACTTGCTAGGGTAAATAAGTCATTTCATAGGGCGTCGAGATCCGATGCGGTGTGGGAACACAAGCTTCCTCCTAACTACAAGTTTCTGGTCCGAAGAATTCTTGAAGATCAAAACGAAGTAGGAGAAAAAGAAAAACTTATCATCCGCAAGAAAGAGATCTATGCAAGGCTTTGCCGACCAAACCTCTTCGACGGCGGCACAAAGGTTCTATACTTCTATCTTTTTTTTTTTGACAAATTAAATAATATTATTTTATGTTTTTTTTTGTGTGTGTTTAGAATCTTTTGATATATTTGATGGTCAATTACGTCCCACTTAGATTTTTCTTGGGGTGTAAAAATAGTTTCCTTCAGAGTGGTTATTAAAAATATATTATTTGGAGGATTTTTGTCAATATGTCTAATTTACCATACTATTTCATTTTATGACCAATAAAGAGTGTTAGAAAAGCTTCTAGAGACAGTAGAATATGTTCTACGAATCCATTGATAATGTTAGAAATTCTTGCCTAAAGTATAATAGTAGTTATTCCCATCGTTCCTAAAAATTATTAAATTAACACATAAAAGCTATTACTATTTTCCACACTTTTCCGTTTTCTTTTTCTTTTCTTTTGAATTAAACACACTTTTGTTACATTTTGGGTTTAAAGTATCTACAAATAAGTATATCAAGAGTTAGACAACAAATATTCTTTATCACCTAAACTTTTGTATCTTTTTTTAGTTGTAGGATTTTTTTTTTCTTACAATAAATAGAATTTGTATGGACTATTGAAATAAGAATAACTGGCCGAATGAATGGAGGATAAAATGCATCACTAGTTTGGAAGATATTTTTGTGACTCAGTTTGCTTTCTTTGTGGTCTAACTCGGTTTCGTTACCAATTATTTTTATGCAGAGGAAATAAAATTGGAAAATATGAAAAAATTCTGGTTCATATTATAGATAAGTGGTTCCGGTATGTTTGGATTTGACTTGCAAATCATATAAAAAGGCTACATTTAAAATTCGGGCGAATGGGGTTTGTCATGTGTGTACGAAAGAAGAAACAAAAAAAGATTATTCCTATCTTTTTAATATATAAAAATATTTTAAAAGTTAGTTGCGAATCTTATTTTTTTCTTTTTTTTTGAACGATTATTGCGATTTATTCATAAATTAATATTAATATAAAAGTAAATGTTTGGATTGTAATATTGAAAAGGAAGCGTGGTTGGACAAGAGAAGTGGGAAAGTGTTTTTGGCGATATCACCAAAGGCAATGAAGATAACGGGCATTGATGATCGCAGATATTGGGAACATATTTCTTCCGACGAATCAAGGTTCTTTTTACATCTCTCTCTTTCTTTCTTTTTTCTTATTATTTGTTTTTAATTTCATCATAGTCAAATTAAACATTTAGGCCGGACACGAATTAGATATTCTATAAGAAAAAATCAGTAATTTTGACATGGTATGGCTATGTTTTAATGTTTGTATCGGATATCAAATCTTGGGACTCATTTTGCTCCAAAAAAATCGAGTATCCATGATCTACTTTGATTTAGTATACTTTTTAAACTAAAAACTCTCTGCTGATTTGAGTATTTAATTGTGCTTTAAACCTATCATTATTTCTAGTGAAAAGGGAAGGACTTTGTCAATATTTCTTTGTTTCCCTTTCAATGGTAATCATTGGAAATATAAACAAGAAATAACAATGTTTATTATTGGCTATAAATCATATAAACATGCCATGACCTTGGTCAAAGTTGATGATTGCACATTTCGTATTCACACACTCTTCTACGACGAAACCTGAAAACATAAAGGTCTATTTCTGTACTTGCATATTAATTCAAACGAGTTTAATCAAAATGTATATATAGTAGTAACCAAAGAAAGTAACCTAAGAAGGTAAACTGACAACAGCTTTTTCATGCAACAATTCGGTAAGAATTTCAAAACATAGTAAACAAAAACTACTTCTCAAACGGATTTTTTTATGTTTCTCATGTCTCTTAGAAGCGAGAAATATAGTATCATAACTCATGTATAGCTCAATTATCACAAACTTCTTATGATTATAATTTTTAAATGAAATAATTGAGGGAATAAAAAATTGAAAATTAAATAATGTTCAGGTGATGTTAGATTTTGGTTTTCTCTAAGAATCTTAGATAGAAGATATTAAACAACACGTAAACGAAATGTATAATGACGGACGTATACATTATATTATATATATGAATACGTAAATTTACAGGTGATGCATATAGAATTTTTAGATAAGCTCAAAAAGCTGGTTTGTTTAGTGAATAGGGGAAGTTTTGGGTCGTCGACGAATATGTCATTTTCTCTTATCCCAAATTTGCTCGATCATACCCAATAATTGGATGGCTTTCTTTCAACAATCGTTTTTTCTCTTTCTATTTTCCCACATGTATTTTATTTATTTCACATATCTTTGTTCAACAAATATCTTACAGAATTGGAAACTCTATCCGGATTCTATCCACATAATTCGAATATTTTCCCGAAAATTGGAACAAGTAGAATATAACTATATTTATACATAATCATTAACCCCACTATATCACTAGTAGGCCTCATTGTTATTTTGAAATTTATCTACCAATCAAGACACTAATAACTAAAGTTGAAGTAGAGCTTATCCACATTGTCCCACTTGGACCAACACTCGCATTATGATTATTTTCATTGTTAATTTCTTATGATCAATGATTCTTGTTTCATTGAACTTTTTGATCCTTCAGATTTGGATCTATAGCTTATCTCCGGCAAATATGGTGGTTAGAAGCAGTTGGAAAAATCAGATTCGAATTTGCTCCCGGAAAATACAGTTTACTTTTCAAGATACAATTAGGAAAACCTATTAGAAAGTGTGGGAGGAAAACATATAGTTTGGACCAAGTTCATGGCTGGGACATCAAACCGGTCCGGTTTCAATTGTCTACATCGGATGGCCAATGCGCTATTTCGGAACGACATTTGGACGAATCGGGGAGGTGGATTTATCATCATGCGGGTGACTTCGTCGTAGAGAATCGGAACTCACCCGTTTGGGTAAAATTCTCTATGCTCCAGATAGATTGTACACATACCAAAGGTGGTTTATGTTTAGATTGTGTGATCATATGTCCATTTGAGTATAAAGGGAAATACAAATATTCCGATTAAATGTTTTTTAGAGGTTCTGTTGATATATTAGTTTTAGGATTTATTTTTTGTTAATACATAAAGTCTGTATTAATATACCTAAAACTTTGCAAATAGAGGAATGTGAAAAAGATGTAAAAGTCTTTAAGAATTAAGAGTTAAGAAGTTGAGAGATTTTGAAAAAGAAGAGGGGTTTAATGGTAAATGGATTTCAGTTGATTTGAAAATCCAAGCAATTTTTTTTATTTTCACTTTTTTTCTTTTACTTTCATTTGAAGTTTATTCGTGTGATGTTTGGACAAGTTGTACTTCTGAGGTTATTTACAAAATTATTTTTTACTTTTAAATTTTATTATCATGATCTAGATCCAGACTTCACGTGTATATACAAATTCTTGAAACGGATCAGAGTGAATATTGGATGTTGAATAACAAATTCCACTCCTACTACCAGTCTTTCGAACAAATGAAAATAGGTGTTAAATAGCCTAAAAACTTAGAGTTACAAAGGAATGTGTGGTGGATTCTATGTTATCATGCATAGACCTAAAAGGCCTAAGATGAACTATCATAAAATTAATGACGATATGGTAACTATAATAAATTATAAATAATATGCTAACAAAATACTAGAAAAATAAAAGAAAGGCCTAAACATCTACTGTACCTATAATTTGAGGGGTCCAATATCAGATTCAAAACAAAAATATGATTATCATTTAGAGAGGTTTTAAACTCTCCATCTAAACTTTCCAATCGATTGATATCAACCAATTTAACCACTACATTAAAACAACTCCATAAATAAATGGAACCCTAAAATTTACTAATAACTTTGATAGTTGACATTGAGGTTGCTATAAGAAATATGTAAAAAAAAAGTGTTACAACGTACACATGTGTTGTTCATATATCCTCCTATCCTAATAACCATTTTTTTTAATCTCCTCTTAATGTTCTAACCTTTTTCTATACACAATTAGTATACAAACAATAATCATAGTTCTACATTTTCAAAATACTTACATGATACATTAATTTCTTAAAATACATTCCATTTTGTGGAAATGTTGAACTTTGATTTCTTAAACACAAAACCTTAAAAACGGCGGGAAAAATTAGAAATTTCGGTAAAATAAAAAATCACATAATAACATTTTCGGTGAAAAATCAGAAATCATTTTTTCTGCGGTGAAAAATTGCGACATCACACACTTTTGATTAGAAAATTTGAGTAAAAAATTACAAAATAATGTTTTTAATTAGAAAATAAACTCAAATTGACAACTGGGCCTGCCTGTCCTTAATGGGCCTATCCTACTGAGCAGAGAAGTTCTTCGAGAAGCCATCAATGGCGGATACAGAAGCAATGAGACTCGAAGACAATCTGAGAGTGAGAGATGAGTCTTCGAATTTGTAATTTCCCGTTCCATCCAAAATTCGCGCTACAACCTCGCGCCCAAAGGTCAACACGAATCTTCGCTCATACAGAGAACGATTCTCCACAACAACAACAACTCAACCTCTCTGTTCTTCGCTTCACTTTCGGTAATCTCTTCCTTCCCCATTTCAAAGCTCAGATTTTTTTCAAGTTTTTGTTAGAAAGATTTGAAATTGATTTGTGTCTGCATTTGTAGGAATTCCTGGGTTTGACGAATCTTATCTACCGAGATGGATCGGGTACGGGTTTGGATCACTTCTTCTTCTTAACCACTTCTCAGCTTCTGCTCCAATCAGTGAATCTCAAATGGTAATTAGTAGCAGAATTGCTTCACAGTGTTTTTGTTATTTAAAGCAATGAAATTTAGCAGTTTGAATTTCTTGGTGATAGAGATCAGAGGCTTTGGGATTATCACTTGCTGCATTTTCAATAGCTTTACCTTACATTGGAAAATTCCTTAAGGTAAATACATAATTTTTACATTGAGTGAAGAAAAACTTTGATGGTCACTTGTGTTGGTGTTGATGGGTTGTGTTTTTAGGGCTCTGTAGTGGAGCAGAGAACTCTACCTGAAGAAGGAGAGCAGATTTTTGTGATATCATCAAATATTGGAGATTCTTTGAAGGAGGATTTAGCGTGGGCAACGTATGTTTTGTTGAGGAATACAAGTACTATAGCTGTGGTATGATGTTTGATCTTTGATCTGTTCCGATGCTTAGTTGTGTTATTACTCTTTTGTTCTACTAGAAGACTGTTTTTTTTTGTTCAGTTGATATCGGTTCAAGGCGAGCTTTGTGTTCGTGGGTACTGGAATTGTCCAGATCAGATGTCAAAGACTCAACTACATGATTGGTTTAAGAAAAAAGTGGATGAGATTGGCTTGGCTGATGTGAAGGACACCCTTTATTTCCCTCAATATGCAGGTATTGTGTTTCCTCAATTGTATGATCTTGAATTTGTTCAGCATTGTTGATCTATTGTATATGTATGAAAATGTACTCTTTTGCTTCTATGGTGTTGAAATATATGTTAACTTTCAGTTTGATTTTAGGTTCTGCACCATCTTGGGATATTCTTCCCGATGGGACGCGTTCTCTTTTTGTGCAACCTCTTGTACAAAATATAAGTGAACCGCAGAAAGTGAATGGGTTTTTGCTGGTGGCTTCTACTGCTGGATATGCATATAGCGATAAAGATAGAGCCTGGATTGGAGCTATGGCTGAGAAATTCAGAGGTTAGATTGTTCCCATGGATCAAAATGAAATAAGGACTTCTTGCTTCCATTTTTTCTCTTTTTGTGGGTTTAAGTTAAGTTGAACCTGTGCAGTCACAACTTTGACAGACTCTCATGGCAGTATTTATGCTTCGCCACTGTTCCATCTAAATATGGGTGGACTTTGCACATTTTTATAGAATGTTAATTGGACCAGAACTAAACGTTTTTGCTATTTTATTGATAAGACTTCAGGAATCAGGATGTCAGTGTTCTTGCGGGTAAACTATGTGGCACTGGCAATATATAATCTGACTTGAAAGTATTTTGATACCATAACCAAAAACATTGAACATCTTTTTGTCCAGGCCGTGAAGCTATTAGTAATGTAGTAGTTGTTAATATAAAATCCTTAGGATAATGCTTTTCTCAGTCAACTTTGTTAGTCTTCTTACCTTAAAAATGAAATCCCGTAGTATCATGAAACAAAATATCATCCTAGTTCTAAACTTTAAGTTTAATGTTTTTTTCCTTCATATGACTTGCAGGATGACATTAGCTGTTCATGATAATGTAATCTTTGACCTGAATCTTGATTGGTGACTGGCGAAGCACTTCAGTTCTTACAGGAATTTCTCGAGGCCATAAACCAGATTCTGCATAACAAAAAGAGAATAACGGCAAGTAATTAGATAACAGTAAGACATCAATGGATGGAGAACTCTCGCCTATTTCCTTGTTACCTTGAGGCGTACCACCTTTCTGATAGCTAGGAGTAGGCCAGGCATTAGGGACCTCACGTCAATTATGTCATGTTTAAGAGTGTAAACCTGTGTACAGTAGTTTGTGTATAAGAAATTAAGAATCCTTATGAGCGATGAACCTGAATTTTAAAATTGAGAATCCAATATTCAGTTTGATTTTTAAATAGATTGCAGTATTGATAATTACATCTCCTGGACTTGAGAAGTAGACTTGTGTACTAGATGGTAGTCCCGGTAGAACCATACTGTGAACACGAACCCCGTCTTCTCCAATCACTTGACCTCTTGCCTGGAAATATGAGAAAACACAGCTATGTTATGTATAATATGTACAGGATCTAACTGGTCCATCTTTGTTAGCCTTTCTGACATTTTTTTCGTCAATCTTATTCATGCGGTACCTTAACATCAGTTGAACTATCCTCTCTGTTGTAGATCTGACCAAGATTTGATATGTTGTTTGCAATTTGGATAGCTTCTGGAGAAGGAAAATCCTGCATTTCATAGGTATCTTTTGAGTGACTTCTTGTAGTTCAATGTCAAAAGCTGCATAAGCTTTATAAGCAAAACCTCTGTATGGTTCTTTCATAGGTAGCCTCTTTGAAGTATTATATACCTTAATTAGTCTTGATCAACATTCCAAAAGTTTCAAAGTTAAAACGCAGAATTCTAGGAAATATCGATTGTTTTTTTTTGTGTCATACCGCTGCATTAGGCCTTGACTCCACTAGTTCTACATTGTTGTAGTGGAAGGAGGCCATGATCACAGCCTGTTGGAGAAGTATAGATCCTATGGATAGAGTTGGTGCTACAAGGCATCCCTATAATGCAAGCAGAGACGAAATTAGATTAACGTGGGCAGACTCGACCTCACAAAGAAAGGGAACATAATGAATTTTCTGCGAGTATCTCATCTCACCCTGTGCTCACCATGGTGGCCTTGTCACATAGTGCAGACAACGCAGATACTGTCTCTGGCTTAATCCGAGGTACATACACCACACTCTTCATCCCAAATGCAGTTGCCTTAATAGATTCAGAAATCATTAACACTGTTGCTAGTTTTCTGAATTTTCTTCGATATTAGTGGATGATATTAACGAGCTTGATAGAAAGAAAAAGGAGTTAATCTGTAACCTGTTTTACATTCTCATACACTGTTGATGGGTCTGTAAAGTCGATCACAACTCCGACTTCTTTTCCCTACTAAAGATATTCGTTTAGGTTATTCCGTAAAACTTAAATCTGGTGAGAACAGAGAGAGAGAGGGGTAAGAAAATAATGGAACCTGAGATATTGAGCCTAACACCATTGTTAGATCACTCACTACGGGTATCTCTAAAGGCTCCTCCATGTCACACAGCTATTCAAGAACAGTAGAGTTAAGGAGTCAGTCAATAGATAAACTAACCAGTTGGAGTACTATACATATGGGTTTTAAGCTAAGTCACCAAGCCAATATCTTCGCCAACAAAATGGTTATCGACAGCACCAGCTAATTCCATTCCCCTAGCCTTAGTCACAGCAATCACAGCCGCTCTACCTATTTCCTTTGCAGCTCCATTTATGATTACCTAATAGGGAAATTAGAAGCATTATCATATCAAAGCTGCATTGTAAGGAAACTCATGATGATGATGATGATGTGATTACCTTAATGTTGTTTTGTGAAGGTTGAGAAGCCGAGCAGGAAAAGGAAGGCCTTGAGGGTTTGAGATGTCTTGATAGCTTGAAGAAGTGGCAGTTCACAGCTGCCATTGCTCTAACCTAGGAGATAGCTTTTGTGTTTCTTTTTGTTGCTTGATGGTTTTCTCATGTTGATAAGAGATTTTTTGCACTATCCTTTGTCTTCTACTTCAAACGATGTCGTCTCTGTTTGAGGCGTATGGATGGATAAGGTACTTGGCTCTTTGTTTTTATTTTAAAGAGAATTTCTCAAAATTTGGAGAAAAAAAAAGGCACTTTGATTTCTTTATTTTTTTTCTCAAACAAAATGTAATGTAGGGGTTAACAATTGATAAAAAGGTATAATGGCGATAATTAAAATGATTTACAATATTAAATCTGTCCTTAGTCGTATCGTATTGTATGTAACTTATGAGGATGTGAGCTTTCACGACTTGCACTATTGGTTTTGGGATAATTGAGGAGACAAAATATAAGCAATAACTAGCAAGTAACAAACCAAACATCGTCGAGTTTTTCCAAGATACAACATCAAAATGAAGAGAGAAAAAAGAAACTAAAAGTGCAAAAAAAGGCTGAAACATATGTAAAGAAAAACTAAATTAACTCTAAGGTGAACCGCTCCCGCATGTTCAGGTCCCCCATAAGTAAAACTCGTGTTGCTCGTCTTCTTGATGTTGTAGTAGGCAGGGTTCGTCTCAATTAATGCGAGATTGTAGGTCGGCTGGAAATAGTGGTTGTTAACCATAACTTCCAAATCGCGCATATACGCAGCTTTGACGTTGTTCGGAAGATACCCAGATCCCATCTGGGTTGTCGTGTGCCGACCAGAGACATATCTATTTACTATTTCACCGCCCCACTCCACAATCTGTGCATGGTCAGTTAGACAAGTAAAGATCTCGCTCGGCCAATAACCAACTGGCATAAGTACGGTGCCACTGTTTGGACCGACAGACATCCACCAGTGTCCAAGGTTTGGATCCTACATTTTGTGTATTTATATATTAGAAAAATAATAACAAAATAAAACAAAATAAAATTAACCGCCTAACCTTCCAAATCTGGATTGTAATGACTTTAGTGTGCGGGTGGATAGCCCCTTCGACGAGGACATTGCCACTGGTTTGTATAAAACCAGGGGATCGAAGATTTTGGCTTTTCACACGAGTGTATGCATCATTCTGCAAGAAAAAAAAACTATTATTAGTTTATAGAAAACATATTGTCGTAAAATTGAAGTGAAAAAGAAACATATGAAACACTTACCGTCCAGAAAATAAAGAATCTAGGCTGGTCATCCAAATATAACCAGGGATAAACCTATAGAGAAAATAATTAAATAACAACTATAATATTAGTCATATTGCATACATAAGTTTTTAAATTAAAATAAAACTTATGTACCAAATAGTTAAGTATAATCTAACCTGCCATCCTGCCTCGATGGTGTTCATGTCACCCCTTTCAATTGAACCCGAGGCGAGCCAAAGTTGGCCTAGGCTGAACTCACCGAGTTGAGCAACTTTGGGGTGCTCCACACTCATTGTGACTTTTGTTCCATAAATCTTTGGTGTGCTTGTGCTGTTCAAATATGCGACAGCATGCTGTGTATACAAAACGAATATACAGTAAAAGGTTACAAAGGTTACAGTTAATATAGGAAATAACAATTAGCATATATTCACAAAAAATAATGATGAATTTTTGGACCAATTCATATTATAGAAAATCGGAAAAAAAAACTATATATTTGCCTCATGTCCGTGGGTGAGATTAACTCCAGCAACAGAATTGGTATCCCAGTTCTCTTGAGAAACCAATCTCCGTATCGGAATCGTCTCCTCATTGGTATGTATTAGAATGTCCCACATTGCTTGGGATTAAGATCTTTGGGTAGTATATAAAGGATGTGGCAATCCTTAACTCTTGAGCTAGCTTTTGGGTTAAGTTAGGCCACATTCCTAATATGGTATCAGAGCCCAAGGTTGGCCCAACAAGCAAATTCCCACAAAAATGGTTTCCCACCTATGTGGCCCATATAAGTGGCATGTCTTGTTGTATTTCCGAGATGTTGGGCTTGGGCTGTTTCCCGTTGGACCGTTTCCCACCCACATCTCGAGGAAGCCTATTAGAATGTCCCACATTGCTTGGGATTAAGATCTTTGGGTAGTATATAAAGGATGTGGCAATCCTTAACTCTTGAGCTAGCTTTTGGGTTAAGTTAGGCCACATTCCTAATAGTATGCTCGTTGTCTTGAGAAACCACTCTCCGTATCGGAATCATCCCCTCGGGACATTTCGACCCGTTATGACTGTTCCAAATCTGCCAGCCGCTAACTCCATCTTCATTTTTGGCTGTGTTAGGAATATTTTTTGGCACTTCCTGTAATTATATTTTGTTTCGAAAAAGAAAAAGAAAAAGAAAAACAATGTATTAATATAAGAACTAAACACATACAATACGTGAAACTGATGTGTAAATGAGTAAAAATATAAATAAATAAAACAAAGACCTGGAGCTTGTGATCCTTGAGGAGAGGATGCCTGAACGCCGGCTGAGCTAATATTTGTGTGCAGTCTATGATATCCCCGTCAGGACTCTGTTAGGTTTTACCAAAAACAAAACAAGTTAATTATATAAGAGTAAAATAAAATATGTGTTGTGAACGTTGCTGTTTATTTACATTGATGGTTGTAGTCGTTGTCGAGGCTCTGACCGCGACGCAGAGAGTGAGTGTTAGTAAACACAAGAAGAGAGCCCTGCAAATAAATAAATAAGAACACTGTCTTGTTAGTTTCTGATCCTGCATGCATGCAAATAAAAACCCTTACGTATCAGTTGCGAATTTTCACCATGGAAAAGATCCTCGGATGATTCTTCTTCCGAACAATGACAAATTTATAGATTCTGCATAGCCCATTATAAGATGGTGGCCTACCTGAAGAAGGTGCTTCCAATTAATCAAAGAAATATTAGATACGAGAAAGAAGAAAAAACATAACTTAGTATTCCAATATCATAAAATACTATACATCATTCGTACTTTCATGAATCCACTATCGAAATATCTAATCTAATTCTTCTCAAGAACTAGCTTGGATGCTTTTCACAAACGAGTTCTCATCCTTACTTATAATAAAAAGTAAAACCTATGAGTAAAGGAAATAAAAATATAGAAATCTTCTTTTTTGCTATGGGACCAAGCTATAGGTTTTACATTGGGTCATTTTGAAAACTACCATATTTATGAGTTTGTGTTTGAAAAAATACCCTTTTTCTAATTTTTAATAAAAAAAATACAGTTTTTAATATGTAAAATGACAAATTTTTCCATATTTAAATTAAATGCTGTATTTTTAGTAAATCAAAACTAAATTCAAAAATTAGTGAAAAAAATAAACTAAATTTAAAATAATATTAGTTATCTTTATAATTATTTTGTTTCTGATAAATATGGTTTAATTATTTTATATATTAAAAGTTAACAAGATAATATCTAAAATTATTATAAAGTTCTCTTAACATTTGTCATGTTATATAAACAAAAAAAGTCTCAACGTAACAAGCATATTCTTCAACTCAAAAATCTGCTCCAATTACAATGTTAACGTAGATTGCGACTTAACATTGTAGAATGGTGTAATATAAATGTGTCATTGATTGGACAAACGTTCCGTAATAGCTCTAACATAATATTCTTTGTTTTATTTACATGTGTTATTGATTAGAGATAGACTATCCAAAAACCAATAAGAATTATCCATAAAATTGTTAGTTACATCACATATTAATTTAAAATTAAATTAATGGATTTTCCGTTTTCAGTATAAATTCTTTTTAATTAATATTAAATTTTACTAAGGTTATTTTAATTTTTAAAAGAGAAAAAATGATAGGGTATTTTTCAAACAAAAACTAATAAAAAGAACATTTTTCCAAATTTACTCTTTTACATTCTTGTAACTCCTAACATTTTTAGTCTTTAATGAAATATTTATATTCTAAACAAAAAAAAAAACAAAAAAAAAAAAGAAATCCTAAATAAATTTTGAAATAGAAATTCGTAACATATATCCACTTGTACGTGTGATGATCTTCACTAGCCATGTTTCGGTTCCGGGTGTAAAAATTTAGGATCCATTCAGATATTTTAGAATTTTGGTTCAAGTTCAAGTTCGGTTTCGGATATTTTCGGTTTGGTTCCGGTTACCCGAAATACTAGACATGTTTTTAAAATTAGTTAAATTTGAATAAAATTTGACTAACTAAATGTTTTGAGATATTTTGGTTATTTTGAGTATTTTGGTTATCTTATATATAAATAATTGATATTTTTGGGTAATTGGGTTATATTAAGTCTAATTCAATTAATATTTTAGATTTTAGATATATAATTATATTTTGGAAATTTTGGGTACCCATTCGGTTCTCTGTTTGGTTCGGCTTTTTTCTTCCGGTTCTTCGGGTATAGGAGTCGAGGATCCGTTCGGTTATTTTTCCGGTTCCGGGTTCGCTTCGGTTCCTCTTTTATGGTTTAATTTCGGTTCGTTTCTTTGGTTCCGGTTCTTTTGTCTAGGCCTAGAACACAGACTGAATACATTGCCTTGTGACATTTAAATTTAGTGCAAGGCTTTTACATTTCATTATCTCTCTAATAATTAGGTTAGTGGACTATGATATATTTGATGTCTCACATTTTGTAGAGAATGGACATTTTTCATGATCATTGATAAACTTTGGTTTTTGTTTGTTAGGTGCACATGATGAAGCAAAGAAATAAGAAGCCATTAGAACACACACACACATACACACACATATATATTGTTAATTTGGACAAAACCAGGGGTAGGTTTCTCGTTTCTTTAATTCATTTACATCTCTTTAGTCTGTAATTAGTTAATCACATTTATATGATTCACATATACATGTGTGTATCGTATGTCTATACACGAGTGTTGAGTATAGCTTTTACCCGCTAAGCGACATCGTTTGATCTTCAGAATGGTATTTTTTCCTATATGTATTGATTTACCATGTTCTGGCATCTATGTTTAAACCTCGTTGGGTTGTTGTGTTGGGATGACAGAGGGTGGAAGAAGAAGGACTCGCATTTTGGAGGTGGACGGAAGTTGCATAGATCAATTGGTGTTTGTGTATTCACGTTAACACATTAATCATTCTCATTATATTTTTGTTGTTCTTTCCACCACATAAATTATAGATACACACATGAATTATGTATATGCTTAATTAATATTTAATGTAACTTTTTCTTACTAAAATAAAAATTATGTGTATTCACTTATGTTTTATTAAAGACATTCACCTTCTAAATAATTATGAAAATATTTGGGAGATAGTGTTAATAATCTGGCTTCTAAATAGACGCTGAAGCAGTTGTTTCTACTGTTACTTAGATAGATTCTTGGAATGTGATGATGACATTGATAAGAAGTCCATTAATCTTAGTGTATATCAAGAATCATGTAATGTTATCGTATATGTAACTTATGTGGGTGTATGTATGTAAATATTATTTGACAACGAAAGACTGATATATATATATAGACGTTCATGTGTCGTCCCTTGCATTTTATAGAGGAATTTTCACGACTTGCACAATCTGTTTTGGGAGATTTGAGGAGACAGAATATAAGCAATCACTAGCAAGTAACAAACCAAACATCGTCGAGTTTTTCCAAGATACAATATCAAAATGAAGAGAGAAAAAAGAAACTAAAAGTGCAAAAAAAGGATGAAACCTAAATAAAGAAAAACTAAATTAACTCTAAGGTGAACCGCTCCTGATTCAGGTCCCCCATAAGTAAAACTCGTGTCGCTCGTCTTCTTGATGATGTAGTAGTCGGGGTTCGTCTGTCCTACTACGAGATCGTAGGTCGGCTGGAAATTGCCGGTGTTAACCATAATTTCCAAATCGCGCATATAGGCAGCTTTGGCGCTGCTCGGAAGATACCCGGATCCCATCTGGGTTGTCGTGTGCTGACCGGAGACGTATTTGTCTACTATTTCACCGCCCCACTGCACACTCTCTGCATGGTCAGAGAGACAAGTAAAGATCTCCCTTGGCCAATAACCAACGGGAATAAGTACGGTGCCACTGTTTGGGCCGACAGACAACCACCAGTGTCCAAGGTTTGGATCCTACATTATGTGTATTTATATATTAGAAAAATAGTTACATAATAAAACAAGATAAAATTAAACGTCTAACCTTCCAAATCTGGATTGTAATAGCTACGGTGTGGGGATGGATAGCGCCTTCGACGAGGACATTGCCACTAGTTTGTATAAAACCAGGGCGTCGAAGATCCTGGCATTTTTCAACCGTGTATGCATCATTCTGCAAGTAAAAAAAAACTATTATTAGTTTATAGAAAACATATTGTCGTAAAACTGAAGTGAAAAAGAAACATATGACACACTTACGGTCCAGAAAATAAAGAGTCTAGGCTGGTCGTCCAAATATACCGAGGGATAAATCTATATAAAAAAGAATTAAAAAAAAAACAATAATAATATTAGTCATATTGCATACATAAGTTTTATAATTAAAATAAAACTTATGTACCAAATAGTTAAGTAAAATCTCATTAAAATCTAACCTGCCATCCTGCCTCGATGGTGTTCATGTCACCTCTTTCAATTGAACCCGAGGTGAGCCAAAGTTGGCCTAGGCTGAACTCGCCGGGTTCAGCAACTTTGGGGTGCCCCACACTCATTGTGACTTTTGTTCCATAAATCTTTGTAGTGCTGTTCAAATGTGCGATAGCATACTGTGTACACAAAACGAATATACAGTAAAAAGTTACAGTTAATATAGGAAATAACCATTAGCATATTCACAAAAAACAATGATGAATTTTGGAATTCATAATATAGAAAGACTGAAAAACTATATATTTGCCTCATGTCCGCGCGTGAGTTCATCTTCAGCCCCAGAATTAGTAGCCTCGTTCTCTTGAAAACCCACTCTCCGTATCCGAAACGTTCCCTCATTGGTATCCCCGTTATCTTGAGAAACAACTCTCCGTATCGGAATCGTCCCCTCGGGACATTTCGACCCGTTACGACTGTTCCAAATCTGCCAGCCGCTAACTCCATCTTCATTTTTGGAAGTGTTAGGAAGATTTCTTGGTACTTCCTGTAATTATATTTCGTTTCAAAAAAAGAAAAAAAGAAAACATTGTATATATAATATATTAATAAGAACTAAACACATACAATATTTGTAACTGATGTGTAAATGAGTCATATAAATAAAATAAAACAAAGACCTGGAGCTTGTGATCTTTGAGGAGAGGATGCCTGAAGGCCGGCTGAGCTAATATTTGTGTGCAATCTATTATATCCCCGTCAGGACTCTAGGTTTTACAAAAAAGAAGTTGATTATATAATAATACAAATAAATTATGTGTTCATGAACCATGGAGCCAATCGAGTAGCCGTAAAATTTGTGTTAGTTATCAAAAAAAAAAAAAAATTGTGTTGTGAACGTTGCAGTTTATTACATTGATGGTTGTAGTCGTTGTCGAGGTGGTTGTAGTCGTTGTCGAGGCTCCGACCGCGACGCAAAGAGTGAGTGTTAGTAAACACAAGAAGAGAGCCCTACAAATAAATAAATAAAAAATCTCTTTTAGTTTCTGATATCCTGCATGCAAATACAAACCCTTACGTATCAGTTTCGAATTTTCACCATGAAAAAGATCCTCGGATGATTCTTCTTCTCAACAATGGCAAATTCATAGATTCTGCATAGCCCACGTGGCCTACCTGAAGAAGTTGCATCCAATTAATCAAAGAAATCTTATATAATATGACAAGGTTTTTTTAAAGAAGCTCTATTATCATGCCATTTGGCATCCTATGCATCTGACATGTGTCCCTCTCCAATTAATGGTAATTAGTGGTGATTAATTTGTAATTATATTGTGGAAATAAATGGATGATTTTGAAAACTACACTATTTTTTAGTTTTCATTTGAAAATACCCTTTTTCAATTTCTAATGAAAATTACAAATTTTTATATGTAAAATGACAATTTCGTCTATATTATAATTGAAAGCTGTATTTTTAGTAAAATTATAACTAAATTCGAAAATTGAGAGAAAAATTTAAAATAATATTAATTATCCTTATAATTATTTTTTGAGATAAAGATAGTTTTTTTATTTTATATATTAAATTTAATAAGATAATATCTAAAAATATTAAAAAGTCTATAAGTCTATCCCTTAATATTGTATAAACAAAAAAAACTCAACGTAACAATCAAATTCTTCAACTCCAAAGTCTGCTCCAATTTCAAGGTTAACGTAGATTACGACTTAACATTGGTAGAATGATGTAATATACATGTATCATTGATTAAATCAACGTACGACTTATAGCTCTAACATACTGTAACATTCTTTGTTTTATTTACATGTGTTATCGATTAGAGATCGAGTACCAAAAACTAATGGAAATCCAATCAAAAGTAATTTTAGTCAAGAGATTTTAAAAGTAATGATGAACTATTAAATTTTAATCAAATGTAGGAACATGATTCACTTGATCGGTGAATTCACACTTATTTTAGATTGTTTAAAAGAAATATTTAAGATAAGAATTATTAAAATTATTAGTTATTTCAAATATTAATTTCAAAACAAAATTAATAGATTTTCTGTTTGACGTATAAATTATTTTTAATTAATATTAAATAGCCATTTTGGTAATTTAGGGTGCTATTCAATGATGGAGTTAAAGTCAGTTCTTTAAAGTTTAGATTTGCTTTTTGAGATTGTTTTCAAGAATCTGTTTGTGTGGATTTCAAAATCTCTGCAGTATATCTTGAATTTTTTACTCATGAAACTCCAAAGGAATTTCATTTCAAATGATTTAATATACAAAGATTTTACAAGTCTTTTAGTTTTGAATAATACTGGATTTTAATGAAATATTTTAAATCTTAGTTGAATAACACCAAACTATTAAAATCTAATAAAGTATAAGATCCAATAACACCAAATTTTAAAGTTAGATTTAGAATCATAGTTGAATAACACTGGATTAGTATTGGATTTCAATTCTATTAAAATCCATCATTGAATAACACCACCTTAATATATTAAAATATACAGTAAAACCTCTATAAATTAATACTCTATAAATTAATAACCTCTCTAAATTAATAAATTCTTCCGGTCCCGAGTTGGGACCAGTGTAAAATATGACATAAATCGATAAATTAATAAGATAATAATTTTTTTGAAAATCTCATGTAAACATATGGTCCCATCTATATTATAAATTAATAATTGTATTAACGTATCAATATATATATTATATAAATTTATATATGTTATATATGAATTACTATGATATATATTTAAAATATTATATGTAAAAAATTTGATGAAATATGACTCTATTATTCAAAAAAAATTTGTGTTGGTTTTTAAAAGATATTGTTTATAAAGAAAAAATTATTTTTAAATTGAAATGTTTTTAAGAAATTACAAAATTAGTAAAATCTCTCTATAAATTAATAATTATTAATTTATCGATAAATTAATACCTCTCTAAATTAATAAAATTTTTGGTCCCAACATTATTAATTTATAGAGGTTTTACTGTAGTTTTTAAAAGAAAAAAGAGTATTTTTTCAAAAGAAAAGTAAAAAATAGGGCATTTATCCAAATTTACACAAAATAAATTTCAAAAAAAACAACTGAACATTCGTTTCTTCTCTTCTCTAAGCATATCTTTCTAGACATTATAGTTAAATGTCCCTTTTTATCTTACGTTACTCTATCTAATAAATGAAAACCGTAGCATTATATTTCTTTACGTTACGTTTCTTCTTCGCAATGCGTTTTCATGTTACAAATCTCTTATTTAATCAAGTCCATAAAATCGAGACACTTGGTGTGTTGTTCTTTTTATAGAACTTAAATATTATAAATACTCGAAATATTTTTTTAAAGTTTCTTATAAATTCTTATAAAGTTCAAATATTCATATTTAAAACTTCATAAACGTTTTAGTTATATAAATATTTAAAACGTTTTATAAAGTTGAATTTTACAAATGTTTAAATGACTATAATATTTAAGTTTTGATAAAATTAAATATTTATAATATTTTGAAACTTTTTAAAAGTTTCAATAAAATAAGGAACCGGAGTAAACCGGATAACAATTTTAATTTTGGACGCCTGATAAATCAAGCTTCCTTCTCATTTGTATTCAGAATCATTTTGGTCCTTTTATAGTATGACTCTGAACCATTGTCCAAAGTTTTATGCAATGTGGGACATTGTATACATATTTTTTCTTCATCGATTGAATAATATATGTCCGTTTTTAAAATTTTGAATCATATTATATGCAGAAAAATATATTATTTTATTAATTATATGTATTTTACATAAATTCAAAATAAATTAAATATAAGATCATATAAAAGTGAAAGAAAAATCATATATTAATGTTTAAATTAGCTAGAGAGGTTTTAGGAAATTAGCAATTAATCAAATTCAGAAACAAAATCAATTTGTTACCATATTTAGAAGCCACAATTTCTAAAAAATTGTTTCGAAAAGAATTTGTAGTATTAATTAATAGATAAATATTTATAACAATGACATTCTCTTGTAAATAAGTGCCAACTCAAAGATTTATTTTATATATGTACTTCGAAAATGTATATGTAGATTCAAATTGAAATGGAACAATGAAAGATGTACGTATACATTTTTATAAGATCATTTGTCATTCTATTTTCTTAAAAAGATTTTACTTAAAAACTTAAAATTCATTCTCAAAATTCATCAATGTTCTATAACACATATAGCACTAAATCAAGTATTCTTTTAATATTGTCTTTTTCTACATTTTACCTTATTTCCCACAAATTTATATTAAACAATTAACAACAATTTATCTTATAATAGTTTATTTTAAAATATTATTTCATATTTAATTTAACTATAAATCATTACATAAATGAATACTATTCGAGAAGCGAAATGTAATAAAATTATTAAAATGACATTGTAAATTGAGGAATTGTTAGAAATGCTTTTTCCAATACCTCTTTTAAAAAAATACCTTTTAAAAATATCCTTAAAAATCACAGATTTACCTAAGTACGTATGTAACATTATAAAAGCATACAAATACTTAGATCAAGGCTTGAGTAATACTGACCATCCAGAAGTACCTCATAAACCTTTTCAGGTTTAATGAGACGTATTTTTGAAAATACACAAAAGAAGGGGACATTTTTTAAAAATGGCACACCAAAAAGTGCATTAATAAAAATAAAATATAATAATAAGGTCTTGCAAATTATTTATTATAAAGTGAAGGGATAATAGGAAATAAATAATATAGCAGCTTATCTATTTCTAAACTATTTTAATTTTTCTTATAACTTTGAATGATGAAAAAATAACAATGACAAAATATAGGATTTTTTTGAGCATTTAAAGACAAAGAAAAAGGACCACATGTCGTGAAAAAGAAGTTAAAAACTTCATGACGAGCTCATTTTTTTAATTAGAATTAATGGTCAAACCATTATCTACACTTTTGTTATAGAAAAAAAGAAGGAGAAGATGATGATAGAGTTGAAGGATAAAATCTAATATTTGAGATTATGATCACTGATTTTTTCGTTGGAAGATGGGTATTTTTTCTTTTCCAAACAACGTTTACTTTTTATTCTTTGTTGACCTTTTTCCTTCAGAAAATTTTTCCTTCACAAAAAGTTTATTACATACTAATTTTTACTTTCAAAATAAATTTCATAATGTATATGCCAATACTTTCTATTTTTACCCACTCTCTACGTACTTGACCTTTCTTTATAACAAAATTCTTAAACTGATAATAAAAGGAATAACTAAAGTGTTAAACAAATTCATGTATAATTATTTGGAAGGACATCAAAACCTATTATTGTATTATTTATTTTGCAATTACATTTTTAATCAGTATCCCACGCATCGCGTGGGTTTCTCCTAGTATTAGATACGAGAAAGAAGAAAAAACATAACTTAAAATTCCAATATTATAAATAATAAAATACTATATATATCATTCGTACGTACTCCCATAAATCCACTTTACTCCCATAAATCCACTATCGAGATATCTAATTTAATTCTTCTCAAGACCAGCAACTCAGATTTTCAAAGCATGAAAACATTGACTAGATTGTATAGAAGGATAGATTATATGCACATAAACACCAATATGATAGAAAAGGCTCAATATCTTTCTTCATATTAAAAGTCCGCTTTTACCTTATACACGAGAACACACATGGAACCCCAAATTGGCTCTCTCTTCACTAGCTTGGATGCTTTTCACAAACGAGTTCTCATCCTTACTTATAATAGAACACGTAAAAGTAAAACCTATGAGAAAAGGTAATAACAAAATAGAAATCTTCTTTTTTGCCATGGGACCAATCTATAGGTTTTACATTCTTGTAAATGCTAACATTTTTCATTTCTATTGAAATATTTATATTCTTAGTAATTAAAAAAAAATAGAAATCCTAAATAATTTCCTAAATCTTGATATAGAAATTATTCGTATATTGGGTATAAGAATTTAGGATTCATTGTGGTAGGTTTCTCGTTTCTTTAATAGATTTACATCTCTTTAGTCTGTAATTAGTTAATCATATTTATATATAAATGTGATTATGATTCACATATACATGTGTGTGCGTGTATCGTATGTTTATATACACGAGTGTTGAGTATAGCTTAATTACCCTCTAAGCAACATCGTTTAATCTTCAGAATGATATTGTTTTTTCCTATATGTAATGATTTACCATGTTCTGGCATCTATGTTTAAACCTCGTTGGGTTGTTGTGTTGGGATGACAGAGGGTGGAAGAAGAAGGACTCGCATTTTGGAGGTGGAAGGTAGTTGAAGACGAAACGCATAAAGTTGCATAGATCAATTGGTGTTTGTGTATTCACGTTAACACATTAGTCATTTTCATTATATTTTTGTAGTTCCTTCCACCACATAAATTATAGATACACACATGAATTATGTATATGCTTAAATAATATTTAATGTAGCTTTTTCTTAGAAAAAGAAAAATTATGTGTATTCACTTATGTATGTATTCAAGACATTCACATTCTAAATAATTATTAAAATATTTATTTTTAGTTTTATTTTTGCAATGATTTTTATTTTTAAATTTTCTTTCTTATATTTGGTTAAGCGCATTTTTTTGTGTCAACACACTAAAAAGGTTTTACTTTGCCTAATTTTCTAATTTGTGGACAAAATTGAAATTGAAAATTCACCCTTAGATTTATCCTAAAACATAAAAAAGAGAGAATTTTATAGAAAATACGAGGATAGGGAAAAAAAAAGATGCAATAAAATAACTTGTTTACCAAGAAAGAGATACACGAAACAGAGCTTGGGTTTTTAGGGTTTTCCTCTCTGGAAAAAAAAAAAAACCTTTAGGGTTTCAATTTTCCGACCGAATTCCAAAACTTTCTAAAGTCCAGAATTAGATTATGCGTTTAAGGCGGTCAGAGTTCTCGATCTCTAACGATAGGAGGAAGCAACAGTCGGTGAAGATCCTAAACCAGTTCCTACTAGAGATTTGGAGATGTCTAAGTTTTTTTTTTTTTTTTGATATAGACAAGTTTCTCTCACGTTCCGGTGAGTCCTCCATCGGTTTATGATCAACTTCCTCTACTTTCTCTCTCTACCTTATATATTTGATGTCTTCAATACACAAAAGTTTAAAACACCAAACAAGTTGGAAAAGACCAATATAATGATGTAAATGAATACATTGATGATTTCTGAGTTTTCCTTGGCCACAATGAGTCCTTTTGGGATCCAAATTCTGTCTATTTGGAGTCTATGACCTCACTGCCGGAACTATCGGTTACCTTTCTTTCTCTGCTCAACCATCAAGCCACATCTTTTGGCTTCATCCCAATACTACCAGGTATGAGTTATTTATTTTTCTATTTTTCATACAATTTCTCATTTTCCAGTATTGATCTGATCTAACATGTTTGAATTGGTGTTTGCATTTTAGTTATGTCGTTGATGATTAGGTGTTTGGATATCTTTGTCCAATACATATTTGGTATAGATCCTTCTGGTCCAGGTTATCTCTGAGAATGAGACATAGTAATTAGTGCCAACGTGAGTGAATTATCTTTTTTCCTCGAGCCATATGATTTGTTGCTTTGCAACCAAATGTATTCACTACTTGCTTATTTGTCTATGGTTATTTATAAAGAGCCCTACTTTGGTCACCTTTTGTTCCTCAATTTGATATGTATGTGCTTGTGTTTGCAATATTGCATAGGTTACTGAATTTGTTAGTTCCTCGCAATCTTGTATGTAATGTCTTGTTCCATATATAGGCAACACAATCACTTTTTAGTTTGTATAGTTTGGTCTAACGTGTGTTCATTGTTTTGATCTTACAATAAATCATTAGTACTCTTTGAGGTTGATAGAAAAAACAAAAATCTGTTTAGCTTTTTGACCATTGCCAAGTCGCTAAAATCTTGCTGGTATTGCACTCTTTGTTGTTGTTTTCTATCTTTTCATAAGCTTTCGATGTTCACTTGAGTTTACAAACTCTTCAAATGCTTGAATCTTGATGTTTATGGTTTGAGTATAAGCCCAACATACAAGTCTATTCCATAGTCATGTCTCTCATCTTTTGCACTTAAATCGGGCCCCTATCGGTGGATAATATTTTTGTGGCTCATTCCCGTGCATCTTTGTTAGCATGGGAAGTTTTATTACCTAAGAAAAAGGTTAAGCAGGTCCTGATGGATTGTCAAGCCTGACTTGCCAGAGGGACTAGATCCTATTTTGAATAAGCTAGTCGATGAATTTACCTAATTGCAGAGCAGAGTGGTGTCAGGAGTTAATGAATCCTGACATCACTCTCTGCTTCTCTAGCATATCAGTTTGAATTTTCATGATAATTTGTAGGTGCAAATTTGAACTTGATCATTTTTCCTTTGACATCTTATGAGTTTGCTTTTGACACTCTTCTCATTCTAGCGCTAAATTTTTTGGTCTGTTTTCAGGATCCTCCATAGGGATGAATTTGTTCGTTATAGGAATGTCGATTGCGTTGAAAAATAAAGAAACAGAGAATTTTCACAAATAACGCAAAAATTGTTACCAAATTTAGCACACAATCTTCAAAGTTCCAAAACATTAGCACAAATTTAATATTAAAAAAAAAAACTAATATAAGCATTTGAGTGACGTTTCACGCGATAGTATTATAATCTTGCTTTCATATTTTAAATAATTAGATAAAGGTAAAATACTTATTGTGTAAACTCACTAATGCTAGTTTTGGAAATTTGTGGAGTGTTATAATTGTACATAAAACTTGTTTTAGTGTTAATGAATTGATAAATTTTCGAAACTTACATATTAACAAATCTACAATACAATTTTCTTTATCAAATTTCCATCTCCGTAAATCTCAATTCGGTTTCGATCTCAATCTCCCAATGGTTTGGTGGAGAGGTGATTCCCAACCCTATTTGTCGTCTGGTGAGATTAGGAAAGAAGATTTGACTATCGTAACAGAGTATAAACTCTGGGAAGTGATGTATGCAAGAGTTGAATTCTATCTAGAAGAAATGAATATTCATAGAAGGTTTAAGAAAAATATCTAATCAGCATGGTATACTTGTCTTGGGTGGTTTAATTTTTTTTGTTGTTTTTTTTTCAAATTATGATTAACTACTACTAATACTTCACATTTTGTGACAACCTTTTAAACATGCCTACCAAGCACATTTGTTTCCTAAAACATATGTACAAACTTTGAAACTAGCCTTTAAGCATTCTAGAGTTAGTTAAAAAGATATAAACAACATGAACCTACTAATATCTTTTCGCTTCCTCCTCCTACTCACGTACGTCGGTACGTGTCTTCCACATTTTTACTCGTCGATTCTTTTTCTTCATTTTCCGTGGAAAGCCTCTCTACTTTCTTCATGAACAACTCCAGTTTTCTTCTGCATCAAATAAAGGTAATTTGGATACCTACTATCTGAATTATAAACAAACCACAATAAGGGACTGAATATTACATACCTACTACCATTAGTAATTCACCTTCCCGAGGAAGATGGGCGGTAATCTTCATACTTCCAATAAGGTTTTGCACCTTCTCCAACATCCGGCTTTAATTTTCCTTTAAGCCAATCAAGTCGAACAATAAGCTCTTCTATGTCCATAACAGCAGCTTCAATTGATTCTGATTCCATGATATTAAGCCTAAGACCTTCATTGCCTCCCACTTGCTTTGTGGCTTTCTTCGTTTGCTCTTTTGCAGTTTCGCAGTCATCTGCAATTCCTTCATCTAAATGTAAAATATGAGTCAAACAGATGTTAATTTCCACAATATATGTTCAAGAAAACCAAACGAATTCAAAAAACACATAACCATTAGAAAATCTAACCTTCATTCTTAGATGTCACGATCTTCGCACATTTTTGCCCATCCTATAAGACATGTAATCAACCAAGATCAGCAACTATGGCAAATGAGGTTACCAATTTTGAAAACCAAACTATTCAAGAACCAGAAATTTTAACCAATCATATGAAAATATCCTAATCTTACCATCTATTGAGTAAATCTCAGAAACAAAAAAACAAAATCAGATAAAAGAACTGAAAAACTAACCACAGTGCAAGGCACTTTCCAACCATCTTCCACTGACCAATCCAACCGTGGACGCAAATTCTTACACAAACCTTGATAAACCTTTCCTTCACCCTCTGGTTTAGGTAGCAATTCGATCTGCAAATAAGATGATTGGCAATTTCATTTGGTCAATCAAAAAACAACGAAACAAATGTCAAAGAGTAAAGCATAAACCAAAGAACAATAACACACTTCACAATAGCAACATGTTTCATACCTGACATGATCTCCTACCCTTCATTGCCACAATTTCTCCAGACCAATAAATCTCATCTTTCAACCAATCAACTAAATCTCCAACTTTCCAAGAATCATGAACGACGACAAGAGGTTCTACGTCACCCTCGAGATTAACATATTCACTTTCATGATAATGTGGTGGATACGTGGGACGTAGCATTAGCTGACTTTCCGTCCCACCTTTAGGTGTTTCAAAAACTAGTGCATTATCTAACGCTGAAACATATATAATTTGCAAAAATTGTTAAGCTAATTGTTAAAAACAAAATAGATATATACTTGGAGAATAAAACTCACGTTCATCTGGAAAGTCAAGATACTTAAACTTGTATCTTAGTTCTCCATTTTCATTGGTCATATCCGTTATCTAATTAACCATCAAAAACAAAAGACGTTGAAATTTTACATTAGTTCGACTATTTATGACAGAAAAGCATCTCAGATATGATGACATGTTAAGATGAATTCTATAATGTTGACTGATTCCTGTTTTAGACTTGATGCATATGTATCTTCCTAATACTACTGATTGTATAATGCATTGGATCAATAAGAATGAAAGCTATAAAGATCTGGAAAACAAAACAGAGATAAAAACTTGTAAATGCATGCATTCAATTCTTGAACTAAAGTCAAAGTTACAAGGAGAAATTAAAGAAGAGGGGAGTTAAAGATCTAAATTAGAAGTAGTAGATTACTCAACTCACTAGTAATTTTGTAAACATTGCTTTGCTAACATTAAAAATTGGAGATCAGCTATAACCATCTAAATACAAAGCTATTATCGGAGATCAATTCAAGGACAAAGAGAAAGAGGCAGTGATAAGAAAATGGAATCTCTATAGTGGATTTACCAAAAGAAAATTAGGTTTTCCAAGGGTTAAAAGCTAGGCTTGCAAGGGTTAAAAGCTAGTGCAAAAGTAAGAAATAAATTACAATGAAATCTTTTCTCATCTAATAAAACATGTTTTCGTAAGTAATTAAGAAGAATTGGTGTGTTTTATCAAGAGATTCAAAAGAAGTAAATATGATAGTTGTCTTTACATCAAACTGATACCCAACCCAAAGGGTCCACTGAGTTTTATGTAAAGAAGATAAAAGAGTTTCGAATTGCAAAGAAAATCATTGAATTAACCATGGAGCTCTTAGTCTAGAGGCATGTAAGACACTTGAGAAAATTGGTCTTTGGATTTAAGAGGGCTTGGCGGAGTTTTACTCTCAACACAGAGACATGGGCCCGAATTTCTCGGGCCCACTTGAGATGCTAAGAAGAAAAAGGATCATTGAGATGGAGCTACAAGAAAAAGGTTTATTGGCGAAAGAAAATCTAATTTTGGAAGTCAAAGAGGAAAACAACAAAAGAGCAACAAAAACAATGGAGGAGTAGTAAATTTAAGTTAAGATCTCTAAACAACAAAGGTTGTTGGATTTGTGGCAAGGATGGCCACTCACAGAGGAATAACTAAGGAGGAATGCCTAAGGAGAAAGAACGAAAGAGCTCCATACGAACTTTGTGGAGACAACAAACATTGCATCAAAAAGTGATTTAACATGTAGTTCTAGTGATTAGTATGTAATTCTTACAACTAGTCTTCAAGATACATATGTGCATTCCACATTATTCCTATCAAGTATTCAGTTCTTATTCATCTATTTCTTATGAATTTATCAAACTTTACTTTGATGATCTCTTTAACCATGCTAGAGTAGTTTTCTAGTTGGGTTTAAAGCACACTGCTTCACTCAGACTAGTCTACCCATCTGCATACCCAACCAGAAGACATTCTCAAGACAGCTCAAATGACTAAACAAAATCCAAACAAGACTTACATCAACTTAAAAGTGCCTATGTTAACAACACTCAAGTAAAAACATATGTTCACATTATTGAAAGAAAGACAGTTCCTAGAATTGTTAAAGGGATCACATGGAACGAAAGGTTACTAAAGATGTGGTATTTAATGTGTTCACAAGTGTTACATGTATCAAATTCAAAGAATTCTTCAACATGCATTTTTGTTTTCCTATAGATGTACTAGAATTGGGTTACATTAAGTGTTGATAGCCGCATTACCTTGCATCGAAACCAAGCTCCGCGGTATCCTTTGATGAAGGATTTCACCTCCACAATTTGACCAACTTGGAATGGCAAATTGATTTGAGTCATTTTTTACTAAGATGGGAGCTGCACATAGTAAAAAATATACTATGAATTGAGTTGGGTGGAATAACAATCTCACAAAAAGTGAGATTTGTTAAATCATAATTTGTTTTGGAGAAATAGAAGAATTGGAAAAAAATTGTAATGACCATAGCGCTATTATTGTCTAAGAAAGAATCAAAGATCATTTGAACTATAAGGTAATAAACATATAGATGGTCATTATGGTCGCAAATGGACATCCATTTGCGGACTAGACCGATCTATATTTGAGATTAATACCCTTGCGGGCTAGACCACCCCCATCTACTCCATCAATGTTTTGATACTTACATCATTGTAAGCCAAAACTTGTACTAATAGGAAAGTAGATTAATCAACATAGTTCATAGTAAACATCCAAACTATAACAAAAACAAAACAAAATCTAAAACTAAAATCTAGCAAAATGAAAGACTCTACTCCGCTTTTTGAAAATCACCCATTCTATAAGATCGAATTGTCAGTATAAAACTTTGTTCCAATACTTATTGATCACTCTTTAAGATAATTGATAATAGTCAAAAGACTCACCTACTAATCAATTGTGTATTAGATCAAAGATTTATACTGACAATTCATCTTTAAAATTGGGCTTACTTCAATTGTTTGAGTTCCAAAACCCACATCCCACAACTGATTGATAGTTCTGTTTAAGATCTCATCAAAATTGATTTGGAAAACAAAGAAAAAAGTGAAATCAGATCTAACAAAAGAAAAACGAAGTTAGATGACGAGAAATTATTGAAAACCAGTTTTCAACCGAAAATCCCAAGAACAAAAAATGCAGAAGATTGGAAAATCTTCAAAGATTCTCATAATCATAACGAGGAAGGGGAGAAAAAATAAGGAAGAAAGTTGAATACCTGATTGAGGATTCCACTTCAAGCTTCAGATCTAGAAACGTTCCAGAGAAGATTGGGCGGCGGCGGTATATTATTATACGGATGATATAGTGAGAAAACCCTAATTCGAAGACACGTGTCATCTTGAGCTGCTGCTCTACGTGAGTTGGCGTTAAGAGACAAAAAGAAAGCTTGAATTGGGCTAGATTAAAAATCCATACGGGCCTAAAACATGAAGTTATCATTTAAATTTAAGTTACATTCTTGTTCAAAATTTAAATTTTGCTACGAAATCTGCGTTCAACAAAATCATTTTATTTTTTATTAGGAGATTTGTAAAAAAAATCCTAATTAGCCAGTTTTTGTAATTTAACTTTACCTTTTAGAAAATACAGATTAATTATACAATGTCAAAAAAAAAAATTCGTTACCATCATGTTTGGAAAATTTCGACAAATAACAAATGGAAGTCATGTGACAAGAAATTTAACTCTAGATTTAAAAATTTATTGTATGTGACTCTGAAAAAAATTAATATACGTATAAAGTTTATATAGTATATTATTTTTTACTTTGTAAGATTAATCTGTATTTTATTGAAGTGGAAGATAGAGTTACAAAAATTGACGCGCTTTTTTTGCTGAAAACCATTTTATTATCTTTTCTAATCTTTGAATGAAACTCATTTTTGTTTAGATCAAAATTTAATACTTTGATTAGAAGCAGATGCCTTCAAACTATATACTTATGATTCAGCCCATTTTTTCGGAAAATTTCATTGGGTTTGTTGGTAGAAATTTCATCAAGTCATACATCAAGTCGTTGTACTATGCATCATATCGTCCAACTATATCACGCAATAACAACCAATAGACACAAGTTTAAGTATATAATTTTTAAATCTACATAAGCAATTTATGAAAAACATGTTTAGAAGATAACCACTGTATTTCCACAAATCTAGCTCTTACCTTAGCCACTTATTGAGGTAGAATACTAGAGGTGTCAAGCGGGCCGATAGCCTGCGGGCTTTGTCCAAGTAGCCCACGGCGGGGCGGGCCTGGACATATTATTTTTGCCCGCGGTCCTAGCGGGCCGGCCCGCCGCGGTCTCATAAACTTAAATGCCCATCGCGGGCCGGCCCAGATGGACGCGGGCCGGCCCGTTTGACACCTCTATAGAATACTTCATTTATTTGCCTTAGAGATGCATAAATAACTTCAGATTGAACCGTTATTTTTTTATCCAATTATTGATTTTAGCCTTCAACTCCGCGAAGCTATCCACCAAAGTTTAGCCATATCGGACTACTTTTACCTCCAAACGTTTTCTTAAAAAAGCATCTCGGATCTATTTTTTAGGGTCTTAGGTTTCACGAGTTTCAATTTTTTTTTGTAGGAAAAATTCACCGCGGCTCGAGCTTAAGTCAGTTGCAGCGAGTGCATTCTAGAAACACCTTACTCGAGATCTAATTCCCACTGGAACGACTAAAAATCACTGTCCAAAACCCTATTCGAAACAACCTTATTCATTATTATTTCTTCCTTTCACGATTGGTCTAAGCTACGGTTGTTCCGGTGTAACCGGCTGTAACACTCGTCCCGCCTTACTGGCCAAGACAGCGTGTTATTCATATGATCCAGCCAAAACGTTTTTTTTTTTGAACATTCCACGTCTCATAAAACTTATATTAACCTGAGGAAAAGATAAACGGGATAAACACAATGGCGAAATTCTAATCACACTCAACAATCAGTGCATAGCATAGAATCAGACTTCACATTCTCAGACATACGTCCAACAAAGATACATATTCTTACATTACTCAACCATATACAAAATCATCAACAATAACGTCAAACCGAAATCCCATTGGCTTAGCATGACACGAACCAATCTCAGATTCGTCCAATCACAAAGACAAAACCAATCCGAGGCTCATCTAACTACTTGGCACAAAACCAATCTCAGGCTCGTCCAAACAATTGGCACGTAACCTATCTCAAGCTCGCCCAACAACTCATATTAGACCATATCAAATTGTTCTAACATACATACATCCTATCATCACACCATACCACACAATATCAACAATAGACATATCCAATCACATTGTTTCTAAGTCTATACAAGCAATTCATGAAAAACATGCTTAGAAATAACTATAATATTCCCACAATTACCACACTCACCTTAGCTTAACTTGCTGGAGACACTACGGCCCGAACGTGGATTTCAAACTTGGTTCTCTATAAACCAAGACATAGATTCATGCCTCATAAATGCTCATACAGAGCTTCAGCTCATGCAAGCTCATCTTACCAACCAAACAAGAAATCTTATCATAATTTGCTATACCAAACCATGTCAGAAACGCATGAATAAATCAGAAACTAACCGTTAAAAATTCAATCTCACCGTTGAATCTGTAGCTTGTAGTACCATGAATAACTCTACCAATTATCAACCATATCCAAAAACGTTTTTCCTCCAAACGACGCCATTAATAATCTATTTCATAATTGTTTTTTGGTTCATACTTAGCACAGATTTGCTCAGTTTTCGACTAGTTACTTGGGCAGAAACTAACACGCATAACTCCTCGAGTTTAACTCCTGTTAACGGTCCGTCAAGTTCTGTAGACTCTTGGCTTGGTGGTTCACAAGTCAGTGTATTTACCTTGACAGACCGACGTCAGATTCTTCGCCGACGAGTCTCCAAAATTATCTCCTCCACACTATTTTGATTTCCTTCTTCTTTTTATTCTTCTCTTCTCCACCCATAATCTACTTCGGATTTTCTCCTCCACCATCCTCAAGACTTTCCAAAACCACGACATGACAAACCAGACCCACCAACGGCTTCCACCATCTCCGCTACGTCTGGTCCTCTCTCCTCTCCTCACGGCTTTCTCCCTCTTCTCCTCCCTTTATATCTCTTTTCCGGTGACGAGATCACTGCCTCCTCCATCACTTCCACATGAGACCTCACTTCTCCTCCTCTCCTCTTCTCCACGCGAGATTCTTCGATAGGGTTGGTTTCGCTCGAGCTTTCTTTCATTTCGTCCCAAAACGAAGACTGCGATATGGACATATATACAAATACACGATCACACACATGCCAAACGTAAACCCAAACATGTTGTTTTTGGATTTTTGGACTACATAGGTTTATTGGGCTGACCTTATCATTTAAATAAAATGAATAGTCCATCTTTTGAGATTGGGGATGTTACACCGGCCCTCCTCCGGTGACTAATGGCGGCAATCTTAGTTGGTACACGGTGGCTGTGGTGGTTCTTCGTTGAGGTTCTGGTGACCTCTCTCCTCTTCTCTTTCACTCGGATTTTCTTCTCTTCTTCATCTCTACTTCTCCTTAGTGTCGTAAACCAGATCTCCCTCTCTCAATACTTCACCTTGACGGTGGTGATGATCTCTTCTTCTCCATAACGTCTCGGCCTCCATCTCCGTGTTCTTCTTCTTTCCTTTCATCTTCTCTTTCACGATCACTCTTTCTCTTATCTTTCATACCCTCTCGCATCATAGGCTCTTAGGGTTTGTTTCTTTTCCGTGCGGCACAACTTCACGAAGATATAAAAACACACAAACGATAAAAAAAAAAACTCCTTTTGTCGTTTCAAAAGAATTTAGACTAATGGGCTTTGCTTAGCCCAATAAGAGATTATCCGTCTTGCTTGAATGCGCTAACTGCAGTTTTGAATGGGCTATTTTATGTTTTATTGTCTTATATCTTTCTATCAATTTTCATTACGAACTTGTGGCACAAACCAAGATTTTTTGGAAGGATACATATCGATGCTAGAAAGAGATTCTTCTTAGGCAGAGGACACATTATGCTACCCCTCGGGCCTCGACCATTAACAATGTCTTTGGACCGTTGACATAATGAGTTTGTGGTATATAATATATTATGTCATCTATATTTGAGTTCTTGTGGGACTTTCAAGTTTCAATGATAAATAGTTCTTGTGGGACTTGAGAAGACATAACTAAATGTTTTAATGAACATCTTTATACAAGTTTGTATAGAAGACGAAATAGAACAGATGGATTGGGTAAGAATGTTTTGGAAGATCCGATGATTGTCATATGAGATTGTCGGGAGATAACTACGTGACATAGTTATATGTGTATATGTACGTATGTAGCTTTTGTAGCTAACAAACAAAGAGCATTTTATTTGGAATCAAGATCAACGGCTCTGATTGTACCTTATCTTGCATGCATCTTCATTATTAGATGTGGTTGTGTTTAGGACTTAGAATGTTTTACACCCTTAAAAGCGTTATATACCACCGTTTTTGCTTTGTTTCTCTCTTTTGTCCACATTAGCTTCTCTTTCATCTCCATAAACAGATTTGCGTATGATTCAATGGTCATAGCTAACAACTTTGGCATATTGATAAAGCAAATTAATTTGAAACACAAAATCTAATTTATTTCCATTTGCATTTCGCTTTTTCATTTATATTTTTCAAAAAGATATTTGATTGTACATAAAATGTTGTTGTTTTTTATAGTAAATCATGATAGTTAGAAATATAAATTCAATCGTATACAATATATATATTTTCTTGACCTTGATATAATTGGTGATCCAAACTTAATGACTAATCTATACTACTATTCAAATTCAAGAAGTAACAAAACTCTTCAATTTCATATTATATATAGTATATATGTATCTAAGAAATGAAACAAAAAACGCTATATATGGGATTAATTAATAGATAAAATGGCTATAACTTCTTTCTTTAGTTTTTCTGTGGAATAGTGGCTCTGAAGTTTGTTGACCGAAAACTAAAGCTTAACCAAATAGATTATGACCTTAAAGCTAATTAGTCCATGCATACGACAGCGCTTAATTAATACAAAAATTTGTTCATATATCGCTTTTGTTATAAATTATTATTGAGAAACACAACACACATTATACACGCATTTGAAATTTTGATTTGTATGCATAATATAACAAAAACAAATATTATGAAACTGATTTCCGCCATTATATAATTAATTGGTCGGGTAAAACGTCTCTCTACTCAACTGTGTTTTGTTTAAATCAATGACAATAAGATCAAGAAGAATCCTCATAACGTAAAAAGATTCCACTTAATTAAAAAACGTTGTTTATTAATTCCATAACTAATCAATAAAATAAGAGGTTTATTAGGTAATCAGTAGTTAAGAAGGCAAAATAAACAAAGTGTTGAATAAATCCAAGCACCGGCCATATATATATAGTCAGCGGCGTCGGCTAAAGCGCAATGAGGGCGCACCGTCAGTTTCAAAACAACGCGAAGCAGAGGAACAAACCACTCGGAACTTGTGTTCGTGTGAGATCACACGTGCCGCAAGTGTCGGTGGCTGCACGTTCGATAAATCTGACTGACTCGAGAGAGAGAGAGAGAGAGAGAGAGAGACAGGATAAAAAGTACAAAGTCAAAAAGAAGAAAAGAAAAGCGAAATTCTGATTTTTGTAAAATTCATTTTTTATTATTATTTACTTATGTTGAAATCTAAAATCAACCTTAGATAACATTGTTTTTGCTTTTGTTTTAAATTTTGTTTTTGCTTCGCGCCAACAAAATTTAATCACAACTACCAAATCATGTAGAACAGTAGAAGCATCGCGTTTTATGCGATTTGGACTAGTTATCGACCTAAAACCATGGTGTCAAATTTGTACTTGAAGATGATAAAGTTTACTCAAACCATTGATACGCAAATTCGAAACCGGTTGTCAACTCTTCAAGTAATGGGGGACAAGTGATACAAGAGACTAAGAGAGGCATGGAAACATGGTTTGTTTCACGGTGATACAGTTTAAACTCAAAGCATTAAATTGGAATAGAATTTAACCTTTCAGCTTATATTACACTTGTTTGTAAAAAGAATTTTTGGTTAAATTTAATTTTACATTCAATTCAAAAAACAAATCAAAATAAGGTTACTATAGATGTGAAAGTTTCACAACATGTTGGTACCTTCACAAAAAGCTGGATGGTCTAATGAACAAATTATATAAGGCACTCACTTTTTTTAGAGAAAGTGACAAAAAAAAACAAAAAAGAAAAGAAGTAAAAGATCAAATAGTAAAAACAAAGAAGAGAAAAGAAGAAAAGAAGAAAAGAAGAAAATAAGAGAAGGTCTTCGATTTGCATCTCCAGGTTTATGGGTTTGGTATAGCTAAAACTAATTTAGTTTAGTATAAACCATACATGTAATTCATCACTAGCTGAACTGCTGAAGTATATTCTCTCTCTCTTTTTTTTTGAAGTATATTCTCTTTAACGTGACTGTTTTACCGATTTATATCAAAGAATCTTAGAAACACTCTACATGTATATTATATGAGACCGAAATCCAAATTTCCTATCTTATCATGTCCACTTTTCTAGCAGTCAAGACATGAACATTTATGCAATTAGTCTGTTCGTTTGGTCGCCGCAGGTAGTTGCGGCAGCGGCAGACGCATGTGAGGTTGTTCGTTTGGTCGCCGCAGGTACCTGCGGCATAACGTTGCGGCAAACGCTGCGTTCTGCGACTAAAAATTTTGAACGCTAATTAAAGTCAGCGTCAAACGATTAAAAGCTGCGGTTGCCGCTGCCGCAGCCGCCTCCGACGACGAAACGAACAACAACCGGCGGTAATGTTGTCGTCGCCGCTGCCGCCTGCAGCGACGAAACGAACATACTAAATATGTTTTCAAAATGAGTTTATATATGGGTTAAAGGTTGTAGTACTCCTATAAAAAAAGGTTGTATTTATTACAAATATTATGTGATCATGTTGAATGATGATTGGCTCATAGGAGATTAGAATATTGGATAATAATTAAGTACAATCACTTTGTACAAAAGATTTTGAATATATATGTGGTTTTATCTGTAATTAGGTTTTATCTCAAGAGAGAGACACCAACACCAATGCAAAGGAGGTTGTGGTTAAACCTAAAGCATGTAAAGCAAACGAAAGCATTAAATTACAAAACTAGATTTCTAGTCATTTGGCTATGAAATAACAAAAATTAACGACAAATTATGCACATTTTCTTCATCGTCAAGTCACTGATAATATATACTAACTTTTATCATGGCTACATATTTTATATCGCCACAATATCATACATAGTAGAGGCTATACAATCACTGAATAATATATTCGGAACTTTTTTGGTTTGATATAAAAACCAGGACTATTCACAACTAGCCAATTCAGAATTTAAACACAATGGTTCTTAGAAATCGGAATTACGTAATCAGATTTTATAAAATGGTAAAAAATAAAAATGATAGATCAAAGGATGAACCAAAATAGTCTCGAAACAAACGTTGACAAGAATTTACCAAAACACATAAAACGAAGAGTCGAGTGGTTTGGTTAAATAGTAAATGACCGGGAGGAGAAAAACAATCACCGATCGATCCCAAATGGTTCGCCGTCGAACACGGACACGTGTCGTAGGATAAGAACCACATGGTTGTGTTAAAGACCAACGCAGAGTCAATGATTGGATCCATTTTGAAATTTCCCAAATTGTCATTAGCCACCATCACACGTGGACGACAGGACGAATTCGTCTTCTATTGCTTTACCTGCACCTCGTCGTACAATAACATTTCCCTAATTTGTCTTAAGTTTTTGTTTATTTATTTTTCTAATACAATGTATATAAGCGTATTGAAGCCACTAGGTGCTTTAATGCTTTGTTAGCTACACTATCCATTTTTGTTCTTAATCCTTGAACTTCTTAGATACTTTATAGAATTTTTACGTATTTTTCTAATAAACTGATTGAGTAGAGATAAATCCACGTAACATTCAATGAATTTTTTTTTTTTTTGTCGTCTAGATTTATTATTAATTGCAAATGATGAGAACTGTTACATAGACGATTCTACAACTGACAATTCCTTCTGACCCTTACTAGATCCACGACAGACTACACTTCTTTCTTCATGATCTTGATGAATACCTTCAATGATCCACGACCTGGCGACACTTCCTTCTCTGCGTAGAATCCTGGCGAACGGCTATAATTGTACATCGCTGGAGATCTCTTGCACACTTGCCTCCATTAATCTGCAAATTTGTTAATAAATCGCAATATCTGGGACTCGAACCCCAGACCTCTTGGTGTAGAAGCATTAATCAACCCTTGGTCAACCAATGGGCCAAGGGGGCTTCCACCATTCAATGAATTTACTATACATTTTTAACTGTTTTAAGAATTTTCTAATTTAAACGTTTAAGAATTTTTGGTAAACATCATTTGATACTTTCCAAAATCTTGATAACCATTTCATTTTTGCAGATCTATATAACTCTCTGGCAGTCGACTTCTGATGGTATGAAAGACCACAAACAGAATGTTGATATCCAAATATATGCACAAACAATTTAATGACAAAAAAAAATTGAAAGTATATATTAAATTGTTGTTACTAACAACAAAAAGCCTTACCACAATCCGAGAACAAGAAGAAATCTCACTAGAGCATGCAAAAGTATGTTGAAAAACACTAGTAGTTACAGAAGTTTGATGAACACATCAGACGCGACATTCTCAAACCTTCAACGATGATAAACAGAAGTCTCAAAAAGACATAGTTCGTGAGATATTCCTCACCTTACAAACATGAAAAACTTTTACTGCTTCGCTGAGGCCCGTCTCTATCTCATGGCTCCGCTAACTTGCTCTCACAATTATAAGACAAATTTAAATGTACTTTGTTTAGAGTTGATAAAAATGATTAAGTAAAGTCCTTTATAAAATAACCATTTTTTTTTCTTATACAATTTTTTCAGAATAGGTTTACTATTTTTCTATAAAAAAAAATTGATCATACATATTTGAAATTCTATGACGGGTCTAGAATTTAATTTAGTGAGACCTCATTTGTAAATTTTAAACAGAACTGAACAGTAAATCTAACTATAGTAATCAACGTACTCAAATTTTCAAATTAATATCTTTGTCACTTTGGAAAAATAGTAAATCCAATGAAAAAAACCCAAAGATAAAACAAAATATATTCCGACAAAAATATACATATACAATTAAATGTATATATGTTAGTAACAACATATAAGTCACAGGCACAACAAGAACTGAATTAGCTGGCCACTCGTTATTATTCGTTTTTTTTTCTCCTTAAAATAATTAAAATAACTTTTTCCATTTTTTTCCCCAACGGGTTCTCTGAAACTAAGAAAACTCTAAACAGAGAATCCGGATGCTTTTCTCAGATTCTTCTACTCTTTCCTAATTTACCGATTTTTCTCGGGAAACCAAAAATTCCAAAAAAAAATTTCTTGATCTGAAGTCAATTCAGATTCTTCTAATTGGAAGCTTCAAAGAAGAAGAAGAAAGAAGAGAGAGACTATTGATTTGGGTTTTGTTTGATCTTTGTAGTACACGTGGCGAAATGGGTTGGAGTTTGGAGTTGTGTTGATGATGTTCCAAGTCCCAGATTTCTTGTAATAACATTCTTCTGTCTTTCTCCAATGTCTTTGTCTTGATTCTCAGAAAAAAGATCTTCAGATCCGTTTTACTTGAGAGGGAAGAGACGAATAGTTTTAATTAGTAACAAAAAAAAAAGATGATGAAGATGATGAGAAACAAACCGACAAATCTTCCGACGGCGGTGACTAATGGCGGCGGTGGTAGAGGTTCCGGCGGCGGCAGGGAGTCAGGCGGTCATGATTGGGAAATGAGACCTGGTGGTATGTTGGTTCAGAAACGTAACCCGGATTTGGATCCTGTTGGAGCTCCACCACCGCCGTTGATCAGAGTTAGAATCAAGTACGGTGCCGTGTACCATGAGATCAATATTAGTCCTCAAGCTTCTTTTGGTTAGTTAGTCTCTGTTTATTTATAAGAATAATCTATGGAATTTGGGAATTTAGAATGGAATTTGAGTTTTGATTGATGCAGGGGAGCTAAAGAAGATGTTGACTGGACCAACGGGTATTCATCATCAAGATCAGAAGCTAATGTATAAAGATAAAGAGAGGGATTCGAAGGCGTTTCTCGATGTTTCGGGAGTGAAAGATAAATCCAAGATGGTGCTTATGGAAGATCCGATTAGCCAAGAGAAACGGTTTTTGGAGATGAGGAAGATTGCTAAAACTGAAAAGGCGTCGAAAGCGATATCGGATATTAGCCTTGAAGTTGATAGGCTCGGCGGACGTGTAATGCCCTGCCCGCCAAGCCGTTACTTTCTTAGGTTGGATTCGATGAAATCGCGGAAATCTTATGTGTTTTTTGTGTGTAGGTTTCGGCGTTTGAGATGGTAACTAAGAAAGGAGGGAAGATTGCGGAGAAAGATCTTGTTACGGTTATTGAATTGTTGATGAATGAGTTGATTAAGTTGGATGCGATTGTGGCTGAAGGAGATGTGAAGTTGCAAAGAAAGATGCAGGTATGTAATCAAAATCATTTCAGGACCGATGATTTTCGCATTGTTCATTAGTTGTTAACATTTGGTTTCTATGTTTGTATAGGTGAAGAGAGTGCAGAATTATGTCGAAACACTCGATGTCTTGAAGGTGAAAATGGCAAATGGGCAACAGAAACAGTTAGGTGCTCAGCGACTTGCACCGATTCAAGAACATAACAATGAAGAGAGACAAGAACAGAAACCGATACAATCGCTCATGGACATGCCGATACAATACAAAGAGAAGAAGCAAGAGATTGAAGAGGAGCCTAGGAATTCAGAGTCAGGACCATTTGTGCTAGATTCTTCTACTAAATGGGAAACATTCGATCATCATCCCGCGACGCCATTGAGTTCGGCTACTGCAAATAATAACCCGATCCCGCCCAGGTTCAATTGGGAATTCTTTGATTGAAAAAGTTCACATTTAGTGAAACCTTTTCTTTCTTTTATCTTGTATGCTTATATAATTCTTGTGTGGAAGTGTTGTTTTTTTTTTTCAGGCTTCTTCTTCTTCTTCATCATCATCATTATGATTCTTTTGATGTACTTATAGATTTTTGTGTGGCGTTTGTTTATCGTTCTGGGAAATAATAAACAGAGACGCTACAGAGAAGTGATTATCAAAAATCTGTGATTCATGTGTTTACTTTCTTTTTCTTCTTCTACTTAGAATTTTTCATTTGGGTTATCTTACTTTTGTTGCAAGGGACTGAAACCTTCTTGATGGAACAGAGGATCTCTTTCTCTCTCTGTCGGTTTGTTTTTTTTTTTCCAACTTTGAAAGATTCAAAAAAGTTGACAATGAGTGGGTCTTCTAAGTCCTATTATCATTTCAGGCTAAAAAAAAAAGTTAAAATCTTTCGCTTCTCATCTTTTGTCAATGAGACAATTTTTTCTTTTTTTCACAATGAGGCAAAATTATACATATCCAAGGTGGACCATCTTTTGTTCACAAAAAATGTGGAGAAACAAAGTTGAAAATAGAGAATTTCATATAGAGCCAAATATTTCTTTCCACTAATTTTTTTGGTTAAGTTGTCTTAAGATGAGAACTACTGGGGTCGATTTGCCTCTGGGAATGATAGTGAGTACAACAAATCCGAAAATTTTGGGCTTGTCTGAACCGCTTTGGACCATGGTTATGACATATGATACATTTAGCCTCAATGGACACAATGTTAACCTCCATTTAAAACAATGTTAATATGTTATTATGATTCTGATTATCCACACGCATCACAGCCAACAAATTTCTTTCTACCACAGAACATCCCCTTCACCAAGAGCTAAAACTCGCTCATTATTAATTTCGATTAGAATCGAAAGTTTCAAATGCAGCGATAGTAATCTCAAACGCCTGACGAGAATTTTGACTTATACCCCGACAATGAACAACTTCATGACAATAAGCCGGAAAATGAGATTCCAACCCACACACAAGACATGTTTGTTGGACACAAACAAAGCAGGTTCAATGCACATATCCAAATGAGAACCACAACCAAAGCAACTCATCTTGGAGAAAAAATGATAGGGGTAAAACGGCAGTCATATCCAAATTATCACTTATTTCATGCAAGTAAACATAATTATTAACAATTTAATTATAATAGATTACATATAATCAGTGTAAAAAGATGAAAATTATGAGATTAGCAATCAAAGTACAACTATATATTACGGATGAAACATTAGTGAATTAGAAAACCATATCTAGACATTACAATAATAATCAAGAATAAATCAAACTTGGTGACCTTTAAGAAGAATCATAATGGGGCCAAGTCATGGCACGAAATGATATTGTATAATTACCCTTAAAAGATTAAATTTAAGTGGTTGTGGTGTCTCCACGAGAGAATCGACCAACTCGAGGGTTGTGCTGTGGAGTGTGGACCAAAGATATAATCATCAAACGAAATCACACAAACACACTAAAAAAATCGGTAGGAGCTAAAATAAATGGTCGACTGTCGGTAGAAGAGGACAGAACAAGTAAGTAGTTAGAAGCAATTATCAAAGAAGCATCACAATCAATAGTGAAGTCTTTTCTTTATTACATATATGTATCCATCTACTAGATCAGATTTGGGACTAATCTTGATACAATCATCACGTGAATACCGCAATATCAAAGAGTGTGTGTGGCCAATAAAAATTGACAAACAAACGAAACAACTAGACTATAAAACTACTTCAATTCACTACAATGTTCTTAAACCAACGAGTGGGGTTTTTTTTTTTTGTTTTGTTTTTGTAATTGCTTCTAGATATGTAAATACATTACAAAACATGAGCATTGAGTACTGGGGTCTCAAAAGCTTGTCCGCAGCCTTTTCTTGAATCAACTGAAAAAAAGAATCACAAAATTAAATAGTTTTATTAAATGATATATCGTTACAATAACTACCTTTAATTAAAAGTAAGTTTTCGATTTTATGGAGAAAATTGTCGTATAATAATGGATGTTGACATTATTGAAAAACCTACCATCACTAAATGGAGATTAAGGAAACGAATTTGGCACTATTTTCTACGAGGCAAAAGTGAAAAGCATTGTTGAATAGACAATTCTACCAATAGAAATGGGAATATTTGTTTGGAATAATAATATACTGTCATTGGACAGTATGAAATTTTATTTAGGAAAAGAGAGTTCGATAAATATGCATAAAATGTCATAAGATACAAAAGAATGCTATATAAAAAATTTAAATTCTACTAGATGTTAAAATAGACTTCTATCGACGAATCTCTTTGTGTGGATTTTGTTTTATAGTATAATTCACCAAAATAAATATAATTTTTGTGGAATGCTATTTGGAAATGATTTTCAATTAATAATCAAAAATGAAAATAGCTTGTGCCAAATCGCGTATATGATTTTTCTCATATTCCATTTATTTTAATGGATGTCTTCGGATGCCATGAAATACTATTGAAAAAATGTATCTATTATAGAATGTTTACATACTTATCCATGTGATTCAGTTTAGTCTGTTATGAATATTTATAAAATAACATAAACACCTTTTGTCATACTTTTTGAATACTAGGAGGATTAAATTTAATTCTTTAACAACTTAGATTCTTAATTATAAATTTGAGTACTTATGTTAGTTACCAATCAAGTCTACAACAATGGTTATGGTCCTTATGGAACACAACTAAGTCTATATAAATAAATAAACTCCAAAACCACCCCACCATATATTATAGGGTTGGTGAACAAGCCAGTGGGCTTCCGATTTCTTATGATACAGATGGAATTAAATCCAAATCTGGAACTGGAAGATAATAATTTGTTTTTGTGTAGTTATTTATATTATATTTCAACTGTATGCAGCAGGACTAGTAGTAGTCAGATTCAGATTGGTAATGAAAGCAAATAATGACAAAGGTCAGTGAAGTTATATGGCTTCTGTTCTTGTGGTAGTTCTTAGACAGAGAAATGAATGCAAGATAGTAACGTAAAAGGTTGGTAGAACCACCTAACTTCTTCGTTAATTCAGTCATTACCAAGTTAGATAAAAGTAACAATGCGAGAACACAAAAACAGTCATGAATAAGATGACTCCAAGTCACAGTATTGGAAAACCACATTTGATAGTCACAAACCATCTAACTAAAAAGTTTGAGTCCCAATCTGATGATTAGAATGGTAACTATATAACAATGAAACAACGTATTCAAGTTATAAGTAAATGGTGGAAGAAGCTAAAGAACATAGCAAGAAAAAAAAAAAGACAAGTTGGCTTAATAAGGATGTGGTCTTGGATAGATGGAAGTTCTGTTTATGTAAAGCCTAGAACCAATTGGTCTTTGAGATTCCTCAAACTCTAGGCGTTTCAAAGCCCAATATACATCAGGCAAAGGCTCCTTCGTCAAAATCGTATCGATTGTTTGCCTGTGAGATTGGTTCACACCGATCAAAAACTGCGTAAGGCACTCCTCTTCTTCGTATTTTTCCAAAGCTTCCTTAGCGCCTCCACAAGTACACACAACAGGAGGTTTATAATACTTCAACTCGTTCCACAATGTAATGAACTTTGTGAAATATTCATTAATATCCATAGACTCATGCTGCTTCAAGTTCCATAACTCTTTCTTGATCTGATAAATTCTGAAATTATCGTTTCTGTGGTACCTATCTTTAAGTGCTGACCACATTGCTTGAGCAGTCTTGTGGTACATAATAGTATTTCTGATATCCTCAGATACAGAACTAGTAATCCACGACATCACCATGCTATTACAACAAGACCATATAACATATATTTGATCATTGGCAAGTGGTTCAGGAAGTGTTCCATCAACAAAACAAATCTTGTTCTTGACTCTCAAAGCTACGGTCATTAGAGGGAGCCAAATATGGTAATTAGAACCAGTAAGAACCTCGTCTCCAACTAGGCTTTGACCGGGCTGATCACCGTCGTATAACAAGAAAGGGTTACTTCTAACGGATTGGTTCTGATTCGTATTGGTAACTCCAAGAACCATGATTATAGATAGCTGAAAGATAAATATTGAAAAAACCAGTTAAATCCATACTATGAAAACTTTGAGATATACAGAAACAAAATCAAAAACATAGTTTTGATATAAGAAACCATCTTAACATGGTAAATTCTAACATATTATCAGTATATGACTAACAAAATCTGGATTATTCATTGCTTGAGAGAGAAGAAAAACAGAGGACTTGAAGAAAGATTCTATGTTCTTCGATGATATCGATTATGATGACTTCTTTGATACAGTTCAATATGAAACTAACACTTGGATCGTGCTCAAAATTGAGACCAAAACTAACACAGTCACGGAGACCAAAATTGATAAATTTCACAAAGAAACCTAAATCAAAGACGTCAATTAGACAATGAAAAATCGAAATCTGACGCAAGAAAATGATTAAGCACTTCGTCTGAGAAGATTATTGATTATCATACCTCTTTTCTGGAACCCAACGGCGAAGATTTGTTCGAAGACGAAAGAGAAGAGACGCAGTGAGTATCTAAAATTAGGTTTTATCAGTGGGAATGACTTGGAGAAAAAGAAATCGAAGAGTGGGCTTTAAAATGGGCCTAGGCTCATAAACTCTTTCCGTTTAGTTTGATAACCACGCGAGATTAGAGAGAGGGTTAATGACCAAATTTATTAGTACCACTGATTACTAAATAATGCCAAGTTGAGAAAGAGTTTAGTTAGTACTGTACTTGATTGAATCTGCAGTACACAACGTATTAATTCAAGTTTCGAAGTAGATATTCTTGTTTCACTTCTTTGAATGCGAGGTAGATCTCGATCTTAACATTTTACTTTTTTCAAAAATTTAATTAATTTTCTTGACTTTGTTTTCTCCAAAGACCGTGTTATAAGTATATAGGTAGTTGGAGAATTGAAGTTCATAATCACATTTTTGGGAGAGATCTAATTCTCTTAAAAATAATAATAATAGATAAATAAATAAGATCTAATTATCTTCTCTGATCTTCAATATATATGACTAGCTATTTTACTATAGTAACAAATCGATTTTTTAAATTAATTAAACTCGACATCTTTAGCGAAAAGAAATATTTACTCAACCAGATGAGTTACTCTGGCTG